ACAGAACAAGGAGCAGATACCCTGTCCCTGCAAGTATCCCTGTTGAGAGGAGACAAAGTGCTAGCAGCCCTCCCTCTCAGCGCCTCCTCTGCCTCAGTGTCCACTCTGGCGGCACTTGAGCCCTTCAGCCCGCCAGGCGTGGAAGCCCCTCTCTGGGCTGGCTGAGGCGGAAGCTGCCTCCCTCTGCTTGTGGGGAAGTGTGGAAGGAAAGGCGCAGGTGGGAACCAGGGCTGCGCACGGCACTCGCGGGCCAGTGCGAGTTCCGGCGGGCGCGGGTGCGCGCGCAGGCTCGGCGGGCCCCGCACACTGAGCGGCCGGGCCAGCCCAGGACAGTGAGGGGCTTAGCACCCGGGCCAGCAGCTGTGGAGGTTGCGCCAGGTCCCCCAGCAGTGCCGGCCCGCCGGCGCCGCACTCAAATTGTCGCAGGGCCTTAGCTGCCTCCCGGCGGGGCAGGGCTTGGGAACTGCAGCCAGCCATGTCTGAGCTCCTCCTGCTGTGGTGGGCTCCCCCTGTGGTGGGCTCCCCCTGTGGTGGGCTCCCCACGAGGCCTGAGCTTCCGGCGGGCGCTGCCCGCTGCTCAGTGGCGCCGGGTCCCATCGACAGCCCAAGGGGTGAGGAGTGCAGGCGTGACTCGGGACTGGCGGCAGCTCCGCCTGCAGCCCCAGTTTAGGATCCACTGGGTGAAGCCAGCTAGCTGGGCTCCTGAACCAGATGGGGACTTGGAGAACTTTTATATCTAGCCAGAGGATTGTATGTGCACCAATGAGCACTCTGTGTCTAGCTCAGGGTTTGTAAATACACCAATCAGCACTCTGTGTCTAGCTCAGGGTTTGTAAATACACCAATCAGCACTCTGTGTCTAGCTCAAGGTTTATAAATATACCAATTGGTGCTCTGTATCTAGCTAATTCTGTATCTAGCTAACTAGCACTCTGTGACTCTGTGTCCAGCTCAAGGATTGTAAATGTACCAACCAGCACTCTGTCAAAATGGAGCAATCAGCTCTCTGTAAATTAGACCAATCAGCTCTCTGTAAAATGGACCAATCAGCAGGATGTGGGTGGGGCCAGATAAGGGAATAAAAGCAGGCTACCCCCCCCCCCCCCACCAGCCCAGGACAACCCGGTTGAGTCCTCATGCATGCTGTGGGAGTTTTGTTCTTTTGCTCTTTGCAATAAATCTTGCTGTTGCTCACTCTTTGGGTCAACTCTACTTTTATGAGTTGTAGCACTCACCATGAGGGTCTGCAACTTCACTCCTGAAGCCAGCGAGACCAGGAACCCACCGGGAATAACGAACAACTCCAGACACGCTGCCTTTAAGAACTGTAACACTCACCCTGATGGTCTGCAGCTTCACCCCTGACAGCGAGACCACGAACCCACCAGAAGGAAGAAGCTCCAGACACATCTGAACGTCTGAAGGAACAAACTGTGGACACACCATATTTAAGAACTGTAACACTCACTGCGAGGGTCCTTGGCTTCATTCTTGAAGTCACTGAGACCAAGAACCCACCAATTCCGGACATACTGTGCCCAAAGGGGCTCAACATTAAATAGCAACCAAACACCCCCATGGCAATTGGAGGAAAAGACCCTGGAAGAAAGGAAAAGCTGTTTCCTGCTTTTTGAAAAATGAGCCCCACATTTTCATTCTGCACTAGGCTCCATAAATTGCATAGCCAGCCGGACTAAAGCATATCACCAAGTTACTTCATCTCTCTCGGGGTCCATTTCCCCAACCCTAAAATGTGGTTCCTGGGACTTTCCTGACAGGATTAGGAGAAAGTTTGAAAAGAACCAACTATGTAGTTTCAGTACATTGCAGGCAACCCGTAAACATTGATTCTCAACTTTTTTCCCTCCAAAATATCTAAACTGACATTTGGCAGCTGTTTTTCAAGAGTCCTAAGATAAAGAGAAAAGGAGGAAGCAGAGAAGCCATGAGTGTTCATTGTGATAAAAAGAAAAAAGAAAGAAAGAAAGAAAGAAAGAAATGTTCTCCAGGCTAAACACCACCACTTTCTGCAGCTATTATGACACCAGAACAAGGAGCAAGTGTGTGTCTTGAGCAGTGGGTTCCACTGACCTTCCTGGGAACAATGTCTGAAGTAAAACACGAGGCCAAAAGGCACAGAAGTAGGTATCTTCTTCTCCCTCTCCTGAAATCTCTGTTGTTTCCCACTCAGCTTTTTCATCCACTTTGGGGGCTTCCAAATAGCTTTTGCTTCTAGAAGATTCTATTCCCTGATATTCTGGTGGTAGCACGCTAAGCCCCTAGAATCAGCTAATTTGCATAAGTACTCCACCTTTCCTTCCACAACTGAGGCTTATGGTCTCACTTCCCCGTTTGTTACCACAGCAGCACCCAGGCCCCACACCTCGAAGGCCTTCCCCTTCCACATTCAATCTGTCCCAGATGCACCTGCGATTTTTTTTTTTTTTTTTAAAGATAGAGTCTTGCTCTGTCACCCAGGCTGGAGTGCAGTGGTATGATCTTGGCTTACTGCAACCTCCACCTCCCAGGTTCAAGCGATTCTCCTGCCTCAGCCTCCTGAGTAGGTGGGACTACAGGTGCACACAACCATGCCTGGCTAATGTTTGTATTTTTAGTAGAGACTGGGTTTTACCATGTTTGCCAGGATGGTCTCAATCTCCTGACCTCGTGATCAACCTGCCTCGGCCTCCCAAAGTGCTGGAATTACAGGTGTGAGCCCCCGTGCCTGGCCTGCACCTAAGATTCTTAGAACCCCAGAACAAAAGGTAGGACTGAAGGAAGCCTTCAATCATAACACTAAGCATTGAGAAGCACAGGTGAGCATGATGCTTTCCAGTGCTCTAATGAATCTCATGGTCTCAGTGGGGACACTGATGTTGAGCACGTGGCCATTCCATCACTCCAGGGGGCAAACATGCTGGAATTCTGTCCTGTGCAAAATGGTCACCCTTATACTCTCTTGTGTGCTGAGAAGGTCCAGGTGTGGACAGGCCAAGATGAAGTTCACACTCTCTCACCAGCAGAATCCTCCCCAAGATCCCAAAAGGGATCTAAGACTCTGTGTGTGTGTGTGTGTGTGTGTGTGTGTGTGTGTGTGTGTGTGTGAATATTATCTAAAATATATAAAAAGCTCCCACAAGAAGAAATAAATAAGCAGCTCAATAGAAAGTATCAAGTATCTGGACAGGAAAATCACAGAAAAAAATATAAGTGGCAAATAAACATACACAAGATGTTTAGACTCACTGATACTGAGGGAACAATTAGATGCTTTTTTTTCTCTTACGTAAAAAAGTTGAAAATATTCAGCATTGAAGAGACTGTGGGAAAGCATCCCCTCTGATAGACTGATGATGGGAGAGTAAAATGGCACAACTATTTTGGAGGATATTTGGAATACCTGGAATTTGGAAAAATCAAAACTTAAAATAAGCCTAATTCTCCCTTTTACTCAGCAATTTCATCACTAGAGATCTATCCTACAGAAATACTCCCATATGTACACACAATATATGTATGAAGATTTTCATTACATGGTGTTTCTCCCAACTAAGGTGAAAATTTCGTGAGCGAGAACTTTGTCATTTACTAGTGTCATCAGCAGCTAGATCACTGCCTGGAACAGAGTGTGTGCTCAACAGATACTTGTTGGATGAGTGGGATTGAAAAATTGGAGATAAGCTAATTTCCTGTCAATAGGAAATGGTTACATCTAGTTTATGAAATACTATGGGCTGTTAAAAGAAATGAGATAAATCTATATGTATTCACATTGAAAGATCTTCAAGACCAGTGTTAGTTTCCTTTTCCAGTGTTAGTTTCCTTTTTTGTTTGTTTGTTTGTTTGTTTGTTTTTTGGCATGAGGTTGCTTTCTGACATTACCATTTCATTTTGGATTTCACTTCATACTTTACAATGCAGCCTGGAGGAACGCCTCAACTTCTAGTTTCTCTCTCCGTTAAGTATCTAATTATGTGTAAATAGAACAACTAACGGGACGCTGGGAATCCCAGAAGGCGAACATTTTGCAACCGGAACCGTTGCGTGTGCTCGGAGAAGCGAGGGAGGTCTTTTCCCTCATTTCCTGGGATTGCTTAAATGCGGGATTTTGCTATCACAAGCACACAACCTAAAGTAGCAGCTCCCCCCTTCCCGGCTTGTTCTGTTTTACAAGAAACGAAAATGAGTCCTGCCTGTGAAAGCAAGCCCTGGGAATCAAATCTAAAAAGCAGTTCACTTTAGGAGAGGTTAGTAGCTGGGAAGAAGCATGAGAAAACTGGAAGGTCCCATGTGGTGGTTTTTTCCCGAGGTTTGTACAGATTCACCGAGTTGCTACGCCTTATCATATAAGTAATGTCTCACTTTTTAGAAGCTGACATTGTTTTGTTAATTACTTCTCTGGTCACATGTATTTCAGCCCGCGCAAAAAGAATCGGAATGCTGTTTTATGTAAATGAATAAAACTAACTTCCGTGGTTTAGCCCTTCTACACCCTCCTCTCCGACCACAGGGTTTGCAAGCTACAATCAAGTGTCCTCTGCAACAGTCCTGGCACTTTCGGGTCAGAGACAGAGGGCGGAAACCGCAGAAAAAGTTGAAAATGTCAGCGACCGCCTGCGTCTGCGTGTTATTTTCTGTCCCTAAAGCGGTGAAGTGGGGCTGAGCGTGCCGAGGGTGGGCTGCAGCCCGGCGAGGGGCTGGGCTCAGGGCACCTTGCCCAGAAGGCAGGCATCGGTGCCAGGTGTTCACCGGCTACGCAGCAGAGCCACCGAGCAGCGCCCCCCTCCCCCCCGTGGGCACGCTCGATGCCAAGGTCAGCTGCTCCTGCAAGCGGCCCGCGGAGCCCCGAGCCCGGGACTCCCTACTCAGCACCACCCGGCGAGCTCTCGGCTGACCCGCCACGGAACATGCTCGGTTCCGGGCGATCTGGGCGCCTCCCCCGCGTGCCGAGCCCTGCTGTCCCCGCAGTGCCCACCGGTGGGCATTAGTCGCCAACCCACCTCATCTCAGGATGGACTTCAGTGTACTTGACGCATCGTGCCAGGACGGTCTCAGGAAAGCGGCTGGTTGTGCCCGACCCGCTCCACTGCTGGCGCCACCTCGGGAGGACCACCGCGACCACCACGACGAGGATCAGGAGGACCAGGAGACAGACGCCAAGACAGACTTGGGCTCTCCTAGAGAGCCGGCAGCAGGGTTTGTCCCCGGACACCGGGCTGAACTCGCAGTTGGCCATAGGACTCCAGGTGGGGTCGGTTGGGCGAAGATGAGGCCGGCGTGAGGCTAGGCAGCAAGAGAGAGGCTGGCTGGGTTCTGAAACTGCACCTCCCCTTCTCTTTCACTTGCCTTTTCTCTGTTTCCCTTCCCACCCCCAACCCCCTGCCTCAGAGTTCAGTGGCTGGTTACACCAATAAGAGTTTAAAAGACCAAGGCTCCTGTGCAGTGACCCACCCACTCCACCTCTAGGGAGAAATAGCCACCTTAATCCTCTGCAGATGTGGTAAGAGGGCAGCCAGTACATCCTTATATTCCCTCCCCTAATTCCCTTCATCAACTGGGCACTTTACACCTGAGCCACATTTGCTTCCTGGAACGCATGAGGGCGGGCTGCCCGCTTCTATACCTGTGTGTACACAATGCCCTCTGCCTGGAAAAGGGTGTCGTCGTACGTCTTCTTCTTAACTCTGACAAATGCCTGGTCAACCACCTTTAAAGACTCAAGACTCAAGTCTGACTCCTTCTCTGAAGTGGCATCAGTGGCTAAGCTCCGGGTTCAAATTTAGTTCATCTGGGATGACATGGGGCAAGTTACCCAACTCTGTACTTCAGATGTAAAGCCAGGATGGTAGCAGTACCTACTTCATGAGATTGTTACGAGAATTAAGTGAGTTAATATCTACAACGTGTTTAGCATAATACCTGGCACATGGTAATCACCCATTAAGTGTAAGTTTTTCCTACCAGCTCCATGGAGTTGCTCAGAGATGCAGTTTTATAGTCCATGAAATGTGTTTGAAGCAGGGTCTGGCACACAGTAATACTGCACTCTGTGGGAGTTTAATAAATAATAAAGTGGCTTTTCTTGCCTCTTCTTTGTTAAGACAACATCTGTGACATTCAAACAGAGATCTAAGTAATGTGAGCCATCAAGTTACCCAACTCCCTTGGGACAAACATTTCCCAAGCAGAGGAAATGGCAGGTGCAAAGACTCTAAGGCAGAAAAGCCCTTTGCCTGTTCGGGAGCAGCAAGGAGGCCAATTGTAGTTAGGCTAGAGCATTGAGGAAAACAGAACAGAAGTTCGGAAAGTAGCAGGAGGCCAGATCACCCATGGCCCTGTAGGACAGGATGACTTTTTTGGACTGTGCGTTTTATTTATATTTTATATTTTTATTTTATTGTATTTTAAGTTCTGGGATACATGTGCAGGACGTGCAGGTTTGTTACTTAGGTAAATACGTGCCATGGTGGTTTGCTGAACCTATCAATCCATCACCTAGGTATTAAGCCCACGTTTTAGCTATTCTTTCTGATGCTCTCCCTCCCTCCCCTCTCCCCAACAGGCCCCCGTGTGTGTTGTTCCCCACCCTGTGTTCATGTGTTCTCATTGTTCAGCTCCCACTTATGAGTGAGAATATGCAGTGCTTGGTTTTCTGTTCCTCTGTTAGTTTGCTGAGGATAATGGCTTCCACCTTCATCCATGTCCCTGCAAAGGACATGATCTCGTTCCTTTTTGTGGCTGCACAGTATTCCCTGGTGTATATGTACCACATTTTCCTTATCCAGTCTGTCATTGATGGGCATTTGGGTTGATTCCATGTCATTGCTATTGTGAATAGTGCTACAATGAACATATGCACGCATGTATCTTTATAATAGAATGATTTATATTCCTTTGGGTATATACTCAGTAATGGGATTGCTGGGTCAAATGGTATTTCTGGTTCTAGATCTTTAAGGAATCCCCCATACTGTCTTCCACAATGGTTGAACTAATTTACATTCCCACCAATAGTGTAAGTGTCCCTATTTCTCCACAGCCTCACCAGCATCTGTTGTTTATTGACTTTTTAATAATCACCATTCTGACTGGCATGAGATGGTATCTCATTGTGGTTTTGGTTTGCATTTCTCTAATGATCAATGATGTTGAGCTTTTTTTCATATGTTTGTTGGCCGTGTAAATGTCTTCTTTTGAGAAATATCTGTTCATGTCCTTTGCCCACTTTTTAATGGGGTTATTTATTTCTTGTAAATTAAGTTCCTTGTAGATTCTGGATATTAGACCTTTGTCAGATGGATTGTGAAAATGTTCTCCTATGCTGCAGATTGTCTGTTCACTCTGATGATAGTTTGTTTTGGTGTGCAGAAGTTCCTGAGTTTAATTAGATCCCATTTGTCATTTTTGCTTTTGTTGCAATTGCTTTTGACATTTTCATTATGAAATCTTTGCCACTGCCTATGTCCTTAATGGTATTGCCTAGATTTTCTTCTAGGGCCTTTATAGTTTTGGGTTTTATATTTTAAATCGTTAATCCATCTTGAGTTAATTTTTGAAAAACATGTAAGGAAGGGGCCCAGTCTCAATTTTCTGCATATAGTTAGCCAATTTTCCCAGCACCATTTATTAAATAGGGAATCCTTTCCCCATTGCTTGTTTTTGTCAGATTTGTCAAAGATCAGATGGTTGTAGATGTGAAGTCTTATTTCTGAGATCTCTATTCTGTTTCATTGGTCTGTGTGTCTGTTTTTGTATTTTATTTTTAACCCATTCATGTGCATTTTATTTTTAACCCATACAAGGTCACCAAATGACTTGATCTGACATACTATTTTAAAGGCTCAATCTGGCTTGATATTGAGAATAAATTGTAGGAGGATAAGGATGGACAACAGTTACAATGGCTGTAATACCAGTAATGAAGGTGGCAAAGAAAAAAAAGATGGATTCTGAATAGAGTTTGAAGGTAGCAGTAGCAGGATTTGCTGATGAATTGGATGTAGCATTTGCAAGAAAGAGATGAGTCAAAGATGATGCCAAGATTTTTTATTTGTGTAACTGACCAAAGGAAGGAAAGCACTGCAATCTCCAGCGATGAGAAAATGGGAAGTGAAGTAGATTTGGTCTTGGGAAGAGGCATGAATCAAGAATTTGGTTTTTGATGTGCTAAGTTTGAGATGTCTATTAGACACCCAACAGGAGGCATCAAGGAGCCACTTGGGTATAAGCTTCTGGAGTTTGAGCAAGGGATTAATGATGGAGACACTAATAAGGGAGGTCTTAGCTATGGACAGTTTTTAAAGCCAAGAGTATATATAAGTTCATGTGAAGAGTGTGTGCAGAAACAGAAGAGTTCCAGAGGCTCAGCCATGGGCTACTCCTGTGGCAGAGGTCAGAAAGATGAGAGAGCTTCAGCAAAGAGAACTGGGAAGGATGATCCCTGAGACAAGAGGAAGGGTACCCTGAAAGTTATTGATGATATTGACAAGAGAAATAATTTTAGAGGAATGATGAGGACAAAGCCCACCCACAGTAGGTTTAGGAGACTATGTGAGAAGGTAAGTGGTATCAGTAAGTTAGCTAGAGTTTGTGTGTGTGTGGAGAGCTTTTCTGTAAAATGGAATCAAGAAATAAAGCCATAGCCAGAGGATGCTGGGCAGTCAAGGCAGGAGAGAATATTTTGTTCTAAGATGAGATTATCACAGTACGTTTGCAGGATGCTGGGATGACTCAGTAGGCAGGCAACAACTGACAATTGCTCCAGTAATTTCCCTCGACCTGCTGAGCTCAAGTGATCCTCCTGCCTCAGTCTCCCAAGTAGCTGGGACTACAGGAACGTACTACCATGGGCCTGGCTAATTTTTTGTATTTATTTATTTATTTATTTATTTATTTATTTATTTATTTATGTAGAGACAGGGTTTCACCATGTTGCCCAGGCTGGTCTTGAACTCCTGGACTCATATATTGGTGATAGGTATCCAAAGCACAGGTGAGAGTGTGGATAGGAGCTCCACCACCTCACAGAAGAAATTTGGAAAACAGCTTTCAGGGTTGGGAAGTTCATGGATTTGATGATGATGACGTGGATGTACTTTTCTGCTGCTTCTCAGCGAAATGAGAAAAAAAAGTTGTCTTCTAAGAGTTGGTGGGGTGCTGGTAGACCTGGAAGGAGACCAGGAGAGCAAATGGACTGTGGGTTCTCAGGGTATCATCAAGTGGTCAGGAATTTTTTAAAAGGTCAGTTAGTAGGTTGTGTTCTTTTGCCCAGCCACTCACCACTGTTTAAACAAAAGGGTGAAAGTGAACAGAGTTGGATTTGACAGGGTTGGGATTTGCTGCATGTATTTGTGTTCCAGGGTTGCCATAACAAAGTGCCACAACTGGGTGGCTTAAGCAACAAAAATGTATTGACTCACAGGTCTGGAGGCTAGAAGTACGAGATCAAGCCGTCACCAGGCTGATTTCTTCTGAGGCCTCTCCCGTTGGCTTGTAAGTGGCTGTCTTCTCACTCTGTCTTCACATGGTCTTCCCTGTGAACTCCTCTGTCCAGTTTTCCTGTTTTTATAAGAACACCAGTCATAATGAATTTGGGCTCACTTTAATGACCCATTTTAACTTAATTACCTCTTTAAAGCTATTACCCTATCTTCAAATACAGTCACATTCTAAGGCACTGAGGGTTAGGATTTCAACATATGAATTTGGGGGGTACACCATTCAGCCCCTAACACTGGTAAGTATAATGGAGAATAAAAGGTCAAGGAAGCAGAAACTTTAAGCAAGAATGGGTTTTGTTTTTGGTTTTGGTTTTGGTTTTTGTGAGTTGTTTTGTTTTTGTTTTTTGTTCTTTGTTTTTTGGTTTTTGGTTTGTTTGTTTTTGTTTTGTTTTATTTTTTTGAGACAGGGTCTTGCTGTGTAACCCAGGCTCTGGAAAGCAGTGCTGAGACCATGGCTCACTGCAGCCTTAACCTCCTGGGCTCAAGCGATCCTCCTGCTTCATTCTCCCGAGTAGCTGGGGCTACAGGTGTGCACCATCACACCTGTCTAACTTATAGTCTTTTTTTGCAGAGATGGGGTTTTCCCATGTTGCCCAGGCTGTTTTCAAACTCCTGGATTCAAGCCATCCACTCACCTCAAGGATAGGATTTTAATAATGATCCGTGGCATCTAAGACCCACAGAAACTGAAGCAGGGGCAAAAGAAGGGTGAGAGATCACGAAAAGATGAGAGAGCTCATGGCTGGGAGGTCCTGAAGGGACCAAAGAGTTGTTAGAAAAGACAACATTTGCATTCGAGTGCTTTCATAGGCGATGCAGATTTACTCTGTCCAAAACTGAACTGTTAATCTTTCTCCGTCAAACCAGCTCCTCTTCTGGTCCTTTGCATTTCAGTGAAAAGAACCAACATCTCCTGCAGTTACTCAAGCTGGAAGTTTCCCAGTCTTTGACTCTTCCCTCTCCCTCATTCCACGTATCCACATGGACGACAGTTCCTACTGCCTGCAAATTATTCATTAAATATCCATTTCTTCATCTCCACTACCACTACCTTAGTCCAAGAAAAAGTTCACCTCCTTTCTTCCCTAGGAAGAGTTTCCCCAGCGTTCTCCTGATTCCACTCTTTCCACCTTCCTCCACGTATTGTCTGTACCACTAGTATAGGCTGGTGGGGTTTTTTTTTTTTCCAAGTCACTCCTTTTAAAGACATAACTTTTACAACATAATTCTGACTCCCTCCCCTCTTGCTCTGGACGTGGCAAGCAGCTTGTCATCAGCCCACATCTGCTTCTCCAGCCTCCATGGGCACCTCTGTCCCCAACAGCTCCTATGCTTCTCCACTCCTGCTGGCCTTCTCTCTGCCCCCAGCGAGCCCAAGCTCTCCTCTGCCTCTGGGCCTTCACAGATGCCATGCCTTCACCCTGCTGACTCCTACTGACCCTTCATGTCTCAACTTCAATGAGACATCCTCAGGAAGCCTTTTCTAACCCCACTCACCTCCCAAGATAAGTTCGATCTGCAAATTGTTGTGCACTCTTCTCGCTGAATAACATAGATGCCAGCAGATCTCATGAGACAATACCCATCTCAGAGGCTCTGGTCTGGACCACTTAGCCCGGGAATGCACACTCTGAGAATTTCTTCAAGGTGTCTCCTCCTCAGGAAACTAGGAGTTTGCACAAGGCTAGGTTGTCAGCAATTGAAATTTATTCTCTAAGTATCCTGCGATCAAGTTGATGTCTCTAAATGCTGGTTGAACAAACCAGTTAGTGAATGACAGAAATGTGGGTTTTGCCTCTGGATTCATTTCTGTAATTTCTGACCTTACTGTGTTCCCTGCCTTCTTCTACTCTCTTGTTCTTGGGCATGTGCTTTCTTTCATGATCCCTGTAGTGCAAGGTTCAAAATCAGTTACCATGCAAGAAGGTTTGCCACCTGCTCTTTATGAAACTGAACCGTTGGAAATTATAGCTTTCCAGCTTGTGAAATGAAACATCTAATACCTGCCACAAAACACACCCCTTTGAAAGGGCTATTTGTTTCTGACAATAAATATGATAAACACACATGGAATAAATGTCAAATAGATCGAAGTGCTAGATTCAGAAAATGATTCTTTCTTCTTCCCTGAACTCCCCTCTTCCCATTTTAATGAACAAGCAGCATATACACACAGAAAGAGAGAGAGAGAGAGAGAGAGAGAGAGAGAGAGAGATCTTCATTGTTTCATTAAAATTATAGCGTAAGACATATCCTGTTGTTTTCCTAGCTTTCCTCACATAGTAATGTGTGTTGAAGACATTAAATACCAGCATGTATTGTTTACCCAATTCTTTTACATGACCCCTAGAATTCTATCATATAGTATACTAGAGTTTACTTAACTAGACCTATATAAATAAGCACAGAATACTACAACAAATATTCTTGTGGCGGCATATTTTTTAGGTGTCCAAGTACATACACTCCTAAAAGTAGACTCCCTGGGTCAAAAGACACAAGCACTTAAAATTTTGAAATATATTGCCATCCAAAGGGGTGGTACTAGTTGGCCCTCTCACTGACGGTGCCTGAGAATGTTGGTTTTTCAACCCTCACACGGTTACAGTTTCAAGTTTGTTTTGATTTCATTTCTGATTATTAATCATCAGGGATTTGGGGCAACTACAGATGTTAGTTTCTCTTTCTGTGAAATGTAATAAACACTTGAGGAAATAAAACCTAAAGGAACCCTATAGCCCTTTACTTCTGCTACATTACTTGGTTTGTGAATATTCTCATTTTGCATTTTCTCTTTCTGCAGCAGGAAGCTTGGTTACAAGCTTCTAACACTCTGGTATATTTGGGAAGTAAGAAGATAACAATGTACAAGAAACTACCCAGATCCTCCTACCACACCCTGTTTCTGTGGTATGATTTGGGGCACGTTATCAATATTTTTTAATTTCTATTTTCTCATCTGTAAAATAGGTACAGTGCAACGTCTACTCATCAGCTTGAAGTGGGGATTAATTGATAATATACACACCTAGACCAGGCTAGACACTCAACATATGGTAGTATCATTATTGCAGACTTATTTGTACATAGTTACACTGCACTGAGGCTTGAAAAATGGCATATTCTGATATTCATTCATTCAACAAATAGTAAGGACCCACTATGGGCCAGGTACTGTGTTGGGTATTGAGAGCACAGAAATAAACTGGCTTTGAGGAATCCCTATATAGCCCAGCACTTAAGAGCACTTTGTGGTCAGGTAGACCTGGGTAGGCTTTGCTATTTGGGCAAATAATAAAGCTTCTCTGAAGGACAAGTTTCTCATCTGTCGAACAGGCTGCAAAATATCTGTGGGCGTCATTGAATTCTTTTGAGAGTTGAATCAGGTAATGTGTATAGAGAACATAGCTGAATGTCTGGCCCCTGGCAAGTATTCAACAAATAAGCACTAATATTGCAGTGGTGATGTAGAAAATGGGGGAATCACAAGGAATCGGAGTGCTGTTTGTTTGTTTGTTTGTTTGTTTGTTTTGAGACAGAGCCTCACTCTGTTGCCCAGGCTGGAGTGCAATTATGCAGTCTCGGCTCACCACAACCTCTGCCTCCCGGGCTCAAGCGATTCTCCCGCCTCAGCCTCTTGAGTAGCTGGGAGGCACGTGCCACTGTGCTCAGATAATTTTTGTATTTTTAGTAGAGACGGAGTTTCACCATGTTGCCCAGGCTGGTCTTGAACTCCTGACCTCAGGTGATCCACCCGCCTCAGCCTCCCAAAGTGCTGGGATTACAGATGTGAGCCACCACACCTGGCCTGGAGTAGTTTTTAGGAAGTCTTTGAAAATATAGTGACACCACAGCAGGCTGTTGAAGGGCAAGCAAGGTTTGCAGAAAGGAGGGAACAGCATTTAAGCAGAACGGTGGGGAGAACAACAGATCTGGGGACACCTGGGGACAAGAGGCATATATATATACACACACACATATATACACACACACACACACACACACACACACATACATATATATATAGAGAGAGAGAGAGAGAGAGAAATTCTGTTCTTTCTACTTCACTGTGTATACATGGCTCCTGCCAGTCCATATAAAACCCAGAGCCCAGACTCCAATACCAGCTCTCCACCCCCACTAGCTCTTTGAGCCTGAGCATCTCATGTAATCTCCCTGTGGCTCAGGCTTGCTGCAAGAATATGTGAGTGTATATGTCAAGCAAAAAGCAGCCAATGTCCCTGGGAAAGCCTCTAGAAATGGGGGAGCCTCCTGTCTTCAGTTCCCCTACTAGAAGGTCAACTCCATGCCAACAGGGCCATTGCCTGGCTTTGTTCACCAGAAATACCAAGTTCTCTGTCCCTAGCACCAGAACCGTGCCCAGTATGTGGTTGGCACTCAAGCAATGCCGGCGGAATAAACAACTCCCTCTCCCACAGTTCAAACTCAGTGACAACAGGCTGGACATTCACCAACAGATCCAAGGTCTTCATTGGATTCACCGGCTAAAACCATCTATCAACAAGAATCTGTTGGCTCATTTGCTGAGGAATAAAGCACAATGTTAAAGGGAGAAAAGGGAGATGCTACAATTCATACATAATTCTTGTTTTATTCTTTCAACAATAATTGCTAACATCTTTGAGCGTCAGGTCCTTTGTGAACAGTACCCTCACAACACTGCCATCATGTAAACATGTGATGACTTTCATCTTGTAAATGTGAAAACAAAGGCTTACAGTTGACAGGCTCAGTCTGTTCTCAAATGAGACTTACGGTCCATAGTAGGAACTTCTGGAAACATGCTCTCGGGTACAGATCTGTGGCAGCTCTCAGGAAGCCTTTTTTTCCCCCCAAGCCAAACTGTATTCAGCTTTATTAAAGATACTGTCCATCAGCACTCATGGTATTTCAGCAGCACATGGGCAGACAGTCATTAACAGTATGCAACAACTTTCAAACTCTCTTCTTCCATGGACTACCAAAAATCAGAAAGCCACTGTAAAACCCATGAAGTCTTCGACT